TGAAGTAGAAACAATGGAATGCATCAATGAAAGTGACTTTGGCTCGATTCATTGTCTTTTATTATCAAGCTGATAAGTGAATGAGAAATTAAAGTGGGATTTTCTTGTCTGTCAAAGGAGTTTTTCTTTGAACCTAAACAAAATATATCGAAAAGCTAAAATATAAAAGGGTAAACTTGACGCCGAGAAGTCCGAAAGGATCTAGTAAAGACTGTAAAGGTAACAGGATGAACCCAAAGTCTTAGACTTAATTTGTTATTGGCCTGGCGCTGCATTGGAAGTTAAAAAGGTAAACAAAAAAAATTAAAGAAGATAACAATGATCTGAATAATTTAGAAGACAAGATACTCGGTGGATTTATTAATGCCACCACTACCACCTTTTATGTTTTTTTTTAAATCAAAGAGTGGACGTTTTTCGCACCCATTACGCAACTTGATGCGATTTCATTCAATTTGTCCTCCGAACTACGCACCAAATGCACACCAAACAAGGCCTAGAGAAGAGATGACACTTAGCATTGGTTGATATTTGAAGCGTCATATGAAATTATTATTATAGATTATGCAACCGACTCTTCCTGTTTGCTTCAGCTAATACATTTTTTTTTTAAGGACGCCAATCAGTCATTCAATCTCCTTACCCACCTGCTGAGTATGAGATGGCCAGAAAGCACCACAGACTCCCCGAATGCATCCTACGGTTGAAGATGAATGCCGCCAACTGTCACCGATGAAGCTATGCATAAGGCTCAGTCAGATGGATAACGAAACCTAATGTTATAAAATGTTACTTTTAAATATAATTTTTTACCAACAATTTTTATTGAGCGCTTATAAATTTTAAGCACATGAAAAAAAAAACTGAAAAAAAGAACTACACCAACAACAAATTCTTTACTTGAATAAAGCAATATTAATTAATAAATGGTTAAAACGTTTAAAGAAATAAAAGCTAAGAGTTTTAAAATATCTCCAAAATGACTTCTTTCATTTTTGGGGTTCCTAGCAATCGAAATCCATCTGACAGTTTTGAGATTTCACGTAAGCCATTAACTATTTCTTATTCAGTTACCGTTCCTACGTTTTAGCTGTATCGATTCTTTAACCAAAAAATCGTATAATATGCACAAGAAAAACAACATACATGAGTTTCGTTTTACATATAGTTACCCCAGTTGTAACTAGCAGGGATCAAGTTCTACCAATAACGTGTCCAATTGCAATTGTGAACTTTTTAACATATCCTTTTGCTCGATGTAAAGTGGTCACATATAGCTAAAAAATTTATGAAACAATCGTGGTTGCAGTTTGTCTTCTTGAGTGCATGCTCGGTCATTCATTTGTGCATTCATCGTGACCGTGAAGTTCAAACGATTACCAAACTAATCTTACAAATTGTACTATATTATTGGCTGGATTTTGTAAAAAGCCCGAATAATAATGTTACAAAATCAACCCATAATATAGGTGGTGCAATCATTGTTTGTTTGTTTTTTCTGTCAATAAAACAAAAATGAACGTTTCATTTCCTTAATTAAATAGCAAATTACTTACGTTCATTGTTTGGGTTTTCTTGCGGAAAGAAAGTACCGGAAGTGTTGAATAACGCTAAATAACTTTGATTGCGTCATCATTGTACGTATATTGCTCATGCATATCTCCGATATTGATAAAATAAAATATGCTCGGAGGTTCTCGCAAACGAGATAATGCAAAGTCTAGCAAACAAGTGGTATGTTTTTTATTTATTTTGTTTTAAAATTCCTAATCGCCTCTTCCAGACAGAGCCTTTCAACATCCTTATCATCTCCTTTCCTTACCACTCTCTTCTTCTTCTTCTTCTTCTATATCTTAAGGGCCCACGATCAATTTATTGATCATTTTGGCTCCTATGCATGTAGATGGGATTTGCAATGTTTCTGTTCCTGGTGTTGATGAGGAAATTTCACAGATTTCCAGTGCCACTTTGTGAGGGAATCATGCACTGGGGGTTTGAAGGCTTGAGGCAATAGACACAAATGTGTCTAGTGTTGTCGCCTCAACCGTTCCTTTTGAAAGATTGTTCCAGTCCCTGATTGTCTTGGGCAGGAATGAGCAGCTCCTATACTGGCTTCTTGCTGGTATGAGCCTGAATTGCCTGTCATGGCCTCGTCGCTGTCTATGGGGGAGAGGGACGAGTTTCTGTTTAATACTGGAACAGTGGACCAGCCCATTATTTATCTTGTACATCATGGAGAGCCTGGATTGTCGTCGTCGTTTCTCCAATGGTGACCAGCCTAGTGTTTCTAGCATGCTGCCAACACTTGAGGTATTCCTGTAGCGGTTTAGGACAAAGCGTGCTGCTCGTCGCTGGACCGCCTCCAACCTGTCAATGCTCTTCTGGGTAAATGGGTCCCAGACTGAAGATGCATAATCTAAAATCGGACGGATAAAGGCTTTATATGCTCTTTCTTTCACACAGGAGTTGCCAATCTTTAGATTTCGCCTTAAGAACCCTAGGGTCTTGTTTGCTTGGTTACATACATTGTTAATATGTTCGTCCCATCGGACCTCTCTTTGAATGGTAACACCCAGGTACTTTACGGAGGAAACTTGCTCAAGAATATGGCCGTGCAGTTTGTATTGGTAGTGTAGAGGAGTACAACTTCTAGAGATTGATAGTGTCTGGCACTTGGCAGGGTGAAATTCCATGTCCCAGCTCATCTCCCACTCAGCTAACAGATTGAGATCCTGTTGTAGCTGGTCCTGGTCAGATCTGTTGGCGATCGTCCTATACACTGCTGTGTCATCTGCAAACAGTCTTGCCTGTGATGTCAGTTTCTCCGGTAGGTCATTAATGTATGCTAGGAACAAACAGGGGCCCAGGACTGATCCCTGGGGGACCCCTGACTTCACATTGACAAAGGAGGAGCTTGTACCGCCCACCACTACTGCTTGGCGTCGGTGGCTGAGGAAGCTAGAGATCCATGTTTTAGTGGTGCCTTGAATCCCATATATCTGGAGTTTGTGTAGAAGCAAACTATGATTCACCCGGTCAAATGCTTTTGCGAAGTCCATTACTAGCACGTCAGTCTGCTTGTGGTTCTCCAGATTGGTCATCAAGTCTTCTACAAATTCGAGAAGCTGGGTCTCACATGACCTATTGACTCGGAAGCCATGTTGACAGTCATTGAGTATATTTTGGCTTTCAAGATGCTTCATGACAGAGCTTACGATTATGTGCTCCAACAGTTTGCAGACGACGCTAGTGAGGGATATCGGACGATAGTTGGCAGGGTCGGAATGCTCTCCTTTCTTGTAAATTGGAGTGACATGCGCTGTTCTCCAGTCTGCTGGAACATTTCCTGTGCATAGTGACGATTGGAAGAGGATTGTCAGTGCAGGAGCGATTTCCTTGGCTAATTCTTTGAGCACTCGTGGTTTAATGTGGTCAGGACCACATGCTTTGTAAGGATTAATGGTATTGAGGAGGGCAAACACACCTTGTTCTGATATCTGGATATCTCCCAAACCTTAGTCACTACCACATAACTAGATGGAATTTCCTGGTCACATTTGTCAAGTCATTTCAAAATCTCCAGTTGAATCGAACCCCCAACCTATGACTCCAAGCCTCCTTGCCCAAACCTATAAACCCTTCCCTTAACACGAAACTACACCATTACACCGATAGTTCCGAATGCATATAATAAAGATTGGAGAGCTTATAGAAGAGATCGATTGTCTAGGAATATTAAATTGCCAATGGTCTACGTTTCACTGAAAGTTGAAAAGACAAAGAAGAAGAAGATTAAAATGATCTATAATATTTAGAAAACAAAAGATTTGATGGATGCATTAGTGGTAGCATATTTTTTAAAATTACGTATCTTTCCCCAAGTTAATGATGTCCGCACCACTGCGCAACTTGGTGCGATCTCACTCACTGCTTCTTCCGTACTACGCACCAAAAAAAACACCCAAAAAAAAAATAAATACACACACACATAAAGTCTCACTTTCTAAAAATAACATTGCTTAACTTAAGTCTCCTTGAATCCTTCAGTTATCTAAAATAAACTACCACAAATGGCTTCCCAATGGCATTTACTCTAATGGAACCCGGGTCCGAATGTGAATGTACACAGCCAAGCTTAACCCATGAGTTCTATAAAGTGTGAATGTATGTGAGAGTAAAATAAATCATATCTATAAATCATATATATTATAAACTTGTAATAGGCATTAATTTGATGTAATAAAAAGCATAAAGCCATATTAATATATGCTATTGCAAATTTAAATATTATACTTAACAATTTTAAGAAGAAGAAAAACCATAAGGATAATTTATTTGATTTTATGCAATAGTATTAGGCCTATCTTTAATTTAATTTAATTTTTAATGAATGGCTATTTCAAATAGGGATGTCAAGGATTTACCATAAAACTGGTAAAAGTACCCCTACAATCAGTGGCGTAGCGAGGGTGTTTGGCGCCCGGGGACAAGATTCGCGCCCGGGGACAAAATCCATTTTTAGCGCCCCTTTTTCTTTTTTTCAACTCTCAAACCCATTATTTTTATCAATAAAATAATATCAAAGCACATTTTGGCGCCCCTAACTAGCTGGCGCCCGGGGACATCTGTCCCCCCCTGCCCCCACCATGCTACGCCTCTGCCTACAATGGGTGTCCCAGAAACATGCATAGCCATACGATCTGCTCTTGAAAGTTTTATGGTGGTAAGTGATGTGTTTTTCATAACAATATACAAACATTCAATCACAAATGACAAAATAAACATTAAGAAATTGATGAACAAAAATTTTTATTAATGAATGTATTGGAAAAAAATATAAATGTTATCAATGTTTACGGCAACAGGGTGTAATCAGTTCAAACAACTTAGTGAATAAATATATACAATAATATGTTCTGAGACCAAAATGGAAATTTTAAATGTTAATTTATAACATTTAATGCCATAAATTGTTTCATTGAAAAGGTGACCCAAAATAATTTATTTTACAACGATACTAATTGTGGAAACATGCTAAAATAAATTGATTGTGATAGGGATTTTGTGTACCAAATTTCCTTCATATTAAATACTATATACTTATTTTCTTACTTCCTAAAGCAGCTTATCTGTAATAATACATACAGATGCATTAAAATGTACATATTTTTAAAATTATAAAGAAACCCAGGGCTATAAATATTTTCTTGTACCTTAATTATTTCATGACAGTTTTGAAAATATCAATTGCTGGCTGTAAATATGCAAAACTGATAGAAATTGTTAATGTTATTTCTGCAGGCTTTTTCTTATCAAGCATCATATTGTATTATTATATGTTAATATGGCTAAGAAAGGGAATATAAAGCAATAAGTTGAAAGTAACAAACTTGTCAACCAATCACTTAAATTAGTTCTTTACCAAATAAAAGTTTTGATTTTTTTAAAATTAAATAATTATTTAAATATGATTAATCAAACCCACTGATTTGTATTTTATAGTGCATGACAATAATTTTAGGTCAAATTTTGAGATAAATTGGCTCAGGCTGTAGGAGATAAATTGGCTCAAGCTGTAAGAGATAAATTGGCTTAAGCTGTAAGAGATTATTCTTCTAGGATTATAAGCTGGTGACCAGCATCAAGATGCCTCTCTCCACGCCGCTGGATAACCCAAGGGAACTTCACGTGTTTGAATTCCCTCTCTACGATGAGTCCCATTCATCCGGGGTGCTGGTGATGTTTTAGCGTGACTGTGCAATGGTGGAGACTAAACTTCAGACTATCAACTTAAGATTTGATAAGTTTAGATAAGTCGACCACTCGAACACTTGGTCACTTCCAAATGGTTTAATTTCATGATGTAAGCTGATGTAAATGGTGGTATGTAATGTAAATAGTGCTAACTTCTCACACTCCATTGTTCATTGGATCACTCTTTCTCATAACTCCTCACATTCCATTGTTCATGTGATCACTCTTTCTCATAACTCCTCACATTCCATTGTTCATGTAATCACTCTTTCTCATAACTTCTCACATTCCATTGTTCATATGATCACTCTTTCTCATAACTCCTCACATTCCATTGTTCATGGGATCACTCTTTCTCATAACTCCTCACATTCCATTGTTCATGTGATCACTCTTTCTCATAACTCCTCAAATTCCATTGTTCATGTGATCACTCTTTCTCATAACTCCTCACATTCCATTGTTCATGTGATCACTCTTTCTCATAACTCCTCACATTCCATTGTTCATGTGATCACTCTTTCTCATAACTCCTCACATTCTATTGTTCATGTGATCACTCTTTCTCATAACTCCTCACATTCCATTGTTCATGGGATCACTCTTTCTCATAACTCCTCACACTCCATTGTTCATGTGATCACACTTTCTCATAACTCCTCACATTCCATTGTTCATGTGATCACTCTTTCTCATAACTCCTCACACTCCATTGTTCATGTAATCACTCTTTCTCATAATTCCTCACACTCCATTGTTCATGTGATCACTCTTTCTCATAACTCCTCACATTCCATTGTTCATGTGATCACTCTTTCTCATAACTCCTCA